ATCGCTAGTAATGGTGGGCCCAGGACTGGCATCCTGGTCATCAGATCCTCCCTTTCTGCATCTTTAAGAAGCTCAGGAGCCTCTCTACCAGTTGAAGCCGCTGTTGAATAATGGATGCACTATAAGTGGCTTGCCTGTCAGTGCTGTGTGCTTGAACTGTTTTTCTGTAGAGACAGTGACTAAGTTGTGTCATAAGCACTAGTGCGTGGTGTTTTACAAAAAAAAATTTAGAATTCCAGGAGAATTGTTGATGGGCTTTGACTATCACATGTATTCTGTATTATTTGGTTCTGTGTAGTGAATACTAAGGATATTGAAGACCAGTGGTTATGTGGGGGGAACATTACACTCAGTGAGGGTGCCGCTTCATCTTGTGAACACCACTCGAAAACGTTCGTGGCTAAATAGGCCCCTTTCAGCACGGAGCTCCCTGGTTTTCTGCCCTTCTCTATCTCTTGATGAAGAAGCAGACTGCTGTTCTCTGGAATGTAGATCACTTGGTTGCCTTCCCTCTGCCTCTGTGCCCTGTCAGTTCTCACCCCCAGGTTTCCGGGAGAGTTAAAGCTTGGGGGGGGGTGCGGGGGGCTTTAGGAAAAGGACATGAGTGTGAGCGTGTTTTGCAGGCTGGGCTCCTGCTCCTTTGTGGGGAATGGCCCTAGCTCAGGAGAGGATCAGACTCTCCACTCCCTCCCAAGGGGCGCTGCCGCCCACTTGCAGGGCTTGTGAAGAGGAGGGGAGGAGAGCAGGGCTGGGGAGGCTCCTGAGGCTGAGGCTGCAGCAGGAGGAGGGGAGAGGAGGGAGCTCGACAGCACCAGCCTCCCAGGCTGTGAGGCCCTGGGGGCTGAGAAGGGAGACACCCAGCTGGGGTTGGAAGAATCTAAGTATATGGGAGAGATGGCTGGAGGAGAGTAACTTTGAGGACGTTGTATAATCTGAGCGAAAGAAGACAAGACTGTTTATGAGATCCAGAACCCTGCTATGGCCACATGTAGCTTGGGAGAAATACACTGCATGGCTTCCTGGCCTTGACGTCACCTTGAAGTGTAATTAGGCATAATAAAAAGAGCCTTTATAAGTTTTCAGACTTACCTTTTTGAACTTCTACAAGGTTCCATCCTTTTTATCCTCTCTCATGTACCAGCATTTAAGATTAAAACAATAAAAAGCTTCAGTTTAATATTTTTATGTTTTGCTGAATAGATAGTATATTTATAACTTAAAAACATTTTATTGCCTATGGTTTTATTATATACACACACATGCACACACAATATAATATTTCAGTTTTATTATGATTCTTGTAGTGTTTTATAGAAGAGCCTGGAAAATTCTAAGGCAGTTTCCATAGGAAATGTGTTCATTCTACAAATAAACTTGAAATTCGTCTGTTATAAGTGGAGACTACCTTTCATAATAAGATATTTCCTCTGGCTCCAAGTCTGGCAACACGGCCTCCCTGACCGTCTCTGGGCTCTGGTCTGAGGACGAGGCTGATTATTACTGCGCCTCATATAGAAGCGGTGGCCCTTTTGCGCAGTGGTTCTAGTTCATGGGGAGGTGAGACCAAAACCCACCCTGAGCTCACTCAGCTCTTCTCTCCCAAACTCAGGCTTTCATATTTTTCTTATTAGTTTGTTCTGAAGTAATTAGAAAATTAAATAAAAATTTAAAGATTTCATGAAGAAAAAAAAAGATATTTCCCGCTAAGGTGATTAAAATAAATGATTTTAAGATTATTTGTAGTATTCTTTTATTCATGCTATGCTCTTCTTAGTTTTTCGAGATTTTAAAGTAAAAAGATAAATTTAAAAATTGAGGGTTAAAAGCCAATATTTTTCATTCTATTCTTGGGTACATCTCTGGATAAGGTGTGTATACACAGAGTGAAAATTCTCCAAAGCAATGTAATGAATGGCTTCAGAATGCCCCATAATACCCATTGCTGTAGCTTCCTGGCCTTCAAATGTTTCTGGTGGGAAAGTATTAAGCTCTCAGAGAGTACTGTCATTTAAATAGCCAAAATCAGTTGTCCTAACACACGTTGTCTTAATTTTCTTATTGTAAATATTTATGATAGAAGAAAATGGGTTCCTTAACTCAGAAAGTGAGGTCTTTTTTGAGATTTGGTAAAAGGCACACTTATTTCCAATGTTCTAGAAAGTCAGTACTATTTTATTTCCTTTTATTCTTTGTCCTCATCCCTGTCTTAAGTGCCTATTTATTTATTTATTTGAAATGCAATTCACATAATATAAAATTAACCATTTTAAGGTGAACGGTTTGATTCAGTGCATTTAATACATCTACACCTACCACCTCTGTCTTGTTCCCAGATATTTTCATCACCCCAAAATAATTGCATACCTATTAAGCAGTTACTCCCCATTCCTTCCTCCCCTTAGCCTTAGGGTACCTTTTTTAAAATTTGAAATTGAGAAATTAAAAAAATTAATGAAACTTTGTGTTATAATTGATGTAAGGCTAGATTTAGTCTGTTCTAATGGTTGTAAAATTAGATCACAAAACTGTATATAATTTGTGTATATTTATAACCATAAGGGGGAAAAGGAATACTTGGTAGGAAACACACCAAAGTAACAGTGATTTTGCTCTAGATTTTCTTTTCTTCATTTAAAGGAGGGGGAAAAAAATCTTCCCATAATTACACAACAAAACAAAAATAAAAACATATTTAAAAGCTTGGGCCTAAACTTACTATTATTATAACATAATTATTTCAGGATAATATTAAACTTCTTTTGGATTGAGTACAATTTTATTTTTAGTATTTTTTGAAAGAAAAAATATTTGCTGGAGGAACAGAACTACATAATATTTGTAGTTTTTCAACCCTCCAGATTATCTCAGATCATGAATTGTTGTTTCAAGTAAGCTGTGTTCTAATTTATTTTTCACTTAAAAATGAATTTCATGGGACTTTGTTTTCAAACTATAAAAACATCATATTCTTGTTGATAGAAATTAAATACCACAGGGGTATACAAATAAAAAGCTACCAGTCTCCCTTCACAATAGTCTTCTTTTGTATCTGCTTAAAATAATTGTTAGCAGTTTGGCAGTCTTATTAGCCTTTGTCATGTGGCTTACACGCACATATAATAAAATTGGACCTAACTGAGTGAAAATCTCAAAATGCCTTTAGGGTGGCCCCATCTCTCTCTCTCTCTCTTCTTTTTTTTTAATGGAGTTACTGGGGATTGAACCCAGGACCTCAGGTATGCTTGGCATGCACTGTACCACTGAGCAGTCCTCCCCACCTCCCAACCCTGACTCCCAGCCCCCCTCCACTCCCCCTTTCTATCAGTTAATGTAAATGTGTGAATGCACCCGGGAAAGGCAAGGCCCCAGGCTAACTGCAGGGGGAATCTTACCACGGAAAGCTTTCTTATTGAAAAATAGTTAGTGCCCTGTTCTGGCCAGACGGGCAGTGCATCACTGCACTCTCCTAGTCTTCCTTGCCCTCTCCTTCCTCTCAAGCATAGAATGAATGTATGTCAAAAATTTATTCGTCTCCTTAATGAGGGAACCAGCAGGATGGTAAAGCTGATTCCAAGAGCATTTGAGAAATCAAGTGCATGCAGACACTGAAGAATGAATGTTGAAATAAATTGCTAGACTAAATAAGTTGCTAGACTAGATACAAAATTGGTTAACGTCCTGCAGGTAGTAAAACCATAACCTTTGGAGTCTGCTGGACAGAAATTATCTCTACCAAATAAAATATACAAGTTTACCTGTAACGTTATGGAATTTGGGTCCTAATCAGTAGTAAACAGCAGGCCAAACAATGGTATTTTAACTAAATAATCTTTGGGATATTTATTGTACAGTATGTTTCATTACACACTGAAAGTGCTTGCAGTTCTTGATTCACTTTTTTTCCAGGTTTGGCTGATTTTTCTTAACAATGAGATGTATGATTAAGCAAGACCAATATAGTGTAGATCAGATCTTGGAAGAGCTTGGTATCTTAAAGTAAGGAATTTAAACCTCCATTCAACAACTGTTTATTGAGCACATACTGTGTGCCCGGCAGTGGACTTGTCGTAGTCCCGAGTGTGTGACTGTGCTTTGGTGCCCCTCCCGTGCCCCTAGGAGGCCCACTGGTGGTTCTCAAGTGGTTGCATTAGGGTGTCACCTGGGAAGTTGCTTTTCTCAGAATAGACATGTCCTTTGTCCTTCTGTCCCAACCTCAATGTAGATGTCCCTGCTTGAGTAGAGCATATGTGTTTAGAAAAAGCTTTACAGATGATTTTTATATCCCTTTCCTTTAAAAAAATATTGTTGTGTTTATTGGGCTTTCGTTAAAAGGAATCGAATGAGTAAACAGCAAGCGAAATTGCAATCAATATTTTTAAAAGTTTCCATACCCCTTCTTGGCTGCCCCATCTCTATAATAAAACTAAAATATTGTCCTGATTATACCCTCAGCAAGAACTACATGCCATTGTCATATTAGAATTACATTTAATCCAACTCAGACATTAATTTGGGAAGAACTGGGCTTAGTCTTCTAATTGTATCCTTAAGTTATGCCTCTCGCTGAAGAAACTGAAAGAGTTGTCATTTGTTTGTAGAAGTATATGATCTGCATGGCAAAGACGTGATTGAAAAATTAGACTTTAAAATGTTTTTAATGAGGAAAAAAGACTGTCATTAACTTATTGGAGACTGTGGTAAAAGGGAATAAGTAATAGAGGAGAAAAGTGTATATGTGTTTAACTTGTGGTGAAACTATTTAAGTCAACAATTAAAATGAGCAGCTGTTGTGGACATGAGTTTAAATTCTCTTTGGTTTAACTTTAATTCGGCAGCCACTTTGTGTAAATGCACTCACACAGCAGGGATCTGTGATTTCACTACGCCTCAGCAGCCATGGAATTTATAACTTAATCACAGGATGTGATATTACAGATTAGTGGAGAAACTGGGAAATAACATGATACAATTGGTATATTGTGTATTTTTCTTTTTATTAGTGTGCCGGTCCAACAAAAGCCCCTGGGTCTGTCTGACTTGTTCAAGTGTCCACTGTGGAAGGTAGGTGACATACTTATTCTTACTTCACTACCCAGCTTGCTTTTTTCAATTTACCTTAAGCTTTATGTCAAAGTTTTATTGATTTGGGTTTATTTAGCACCACTGCTTAATCATAGTGTGTTCGTAATTCTCTGTAGGGCTTCCCTCACCGAACAGAATCCCTGTTCGGTGATGGAACTGAGGAAAATCTGGAGGGGGGACCCCTTTTTTGTTGGTACTGAGAAGAATTAATTTGATGATCAAGACAATCTACTAGTAATATGTGACAGTCTGCTAGTAATAAAAGATGAAATAAGGAACTCTGATGTCTTACGGTTGTTTTAAGTACCTTTTATTAGGGTAAATTTAAGCATGCTCAGAAGTAGAGAGTATAATTAATTGAACTCTGTATTTTTACCGCCCAGCTTCAACACTTACCAACACGCGGCCAATTTTGTTTCACCTATTACCTATGCCAGCCTTACCTTTACTGACTTTTGAATCAGATCCCAGATAACACATTATTTTTCTAACAATAAAACAAAACACTAGAATATTTACAGATCGTTCTCCCTTGAGAACGATCTCACTGTGGGGTTATTAATGCTGTCTCAAATGTACCACATGTTTCATTCCATTAAGGCTTAACACTCCCAACCCCAGTTCCAGCCTGAGCATTTCCTCCTAGGTCTTTGCTCCAAAATGATGTTACTTAAATATTAAGTACGTTAGTAACTCTTCTAACACAAACTCAAATAAATATCAACCTTTGTGTGCCTTGTAGTAGCACATTTATTTCTGTCTCTCTTTTAGCTTGGAAAATCCACTTTGAGTTTACTTTAGAAGTTAATAGCCCAGCAGCAGGGAGATGGGAAATCATACCAAGTGGCACAGGCTGAAATCTGTATTGCATTTATTTGGACTGTTTCCCCACTGTTATTTATAAACCTTCATTGCATGAAGAGAGCATCTTATTTTCAGTCCTGGAATTGAGTATTTTTTTTCATGTACACTTAAGAGTACCTTTGGAGAATGTTAACTGCGTATCTTAATTGTGGTTGTTGTGGTTTTGAAATCTCTAGGATTTGGGGAACCTGAGAATACTTTGTACAGATAACATTTTTTTAAAAAAAGAAGAAAAGTAGAAGCACTTAAATACTGCACTTTGAAGAGACAGATTCCTCTCCTAGATTTTGAGAGGTGAGAGTTATAATGTAATAAAATTTATGTAATTCTATTCTCCAGTTGTCTCATAGTGCTCTACAGCCTAAATCTTGAAGGTCATATGTCAACAAAAAGACCTGACAAACTCTAAAAAATTGGAGACATTAATGTCCTTAACAGCAGACAACAAGCAGTTCTCTAAGCAGGTTTGGAGAGATAATCAAGCTGTGAAAATTCTACCTAATAAAACTGAAAAGGAAAAAAAAAAGAAAGAAAAAGAAATTGAAAACTTTCTAGACTCTGTAGGCAGTATGCTTCCAATTGTAAGCAATCATAAATTTAGAAATTTGACATAGGTTCAGAGAGACATGATTAAGTAGAGTACACAGATGAGAAGAGCCTGCATTTGGACCTTCATTTTACATAGCTGATTGGCTAATGTTCTTTTATCATGTAATCCTGGGTATTGACTGCCAAGGATTCTGGGTTTTTCGTAGTGATTTAGCCCACTTGTCTGTAGGGAAGTCTTACATTTATTTTTTCCACTAGGAAACATAGTTTACCCATAGCATATTTGAGTTATATATCCTATTAGTCTTCATGACACCATCCCATTTAAGCTATTTTTCCAATTTTTGCTGTTGTTAAAAAATCTGTGATGTGTATATTGACACTTTTCCTTTTTAGACCAAATTGTCTAGTTAAAATCTAAAACTGGATGAGAGAAATGTTTATTTTTAAGTTGGCCAGTTTATACATGTCTGTTAACTTCCGACTGATGTTTTGAGTATTAGCCAAAGCATTGTTAATCTTAATGTCAGCAGTGAAGCAGCCCTACTGTGTCACTGACGTTGACATGTGAGCATTTAGTACATTTGGAGACTACAGTATGTGTGTAAATGAACTATATGTAATGTAACCAGTTTCCAAAGATTTGAATGTAGTAATGCCTTTATTATCATTCTCTATAGCCTTTTCTTGGATTCTGAAGGTACTCCTCATTATAAATATTTCTTTGTTTTTCATGGCGCAGTATAAATACATATAAGCCTAGGAAATGAAGCTGTAAATACATACAAGCATAGGAAATTAAGCTGATTAGGTATTGAACCTATAGGCTCCCCTGGAGTATATCTTTTAATTAAATATGGGATGTTTCCTGACCTGTGCAATGTGTTATCTCAAAGTATGGACTTAATATGATGGCTTTCTAAGCAATTACGTTGTTTGGATTCTGTATAAATAAGTAGCTAAGCAGGAGGCAGGGTATATAGCTCAGTGGTAGAGCGTGTGCCTAGCAAGCATGAGGTCCTGGGTTCAATCTCCAGTACCTCCATTAACAAAAAATCCCCCAAAAACCTCCCCCTCCACCACCACACACACAAAAAAAGTATTTAAGCATATAAAGGAAAATACGAATAAAAATATTGCTAACATTCATTCATGCATGCATTCTGAGCCATGGATTATTTAATCACCTAACAACCAACAATATAAGTATTGTTACCTGCATTTTACAGATGAGAAAACAGAAGCACAGAGAGGTTAACTCACCCCGGCTCCCCTGGCCAGCATGTGACAAAGCCTACTTTTGAATCCAGGCAGTCTTGTTTTTGAGTTTATACTCTTAATCATTTTTTAAAAATTCATTTTAGTCCACTTTTGTAAACTTAAGACCCTTGTACCCACAAGTGTTGGTTATGTTTATTACAAAGAAAACAAAATGTGGGAAAAAACCATGATCAGAGTCAGAGTTGAGTGGAGGGTGGCAGTGCCTCTCATGCTTCCAGCTTTCCTGGGGCCAGAGGCTGGGCTTGCGGTTGGTCCTCCTCGCTTTCCCCAGCTTTTCCCAAGGTAAGTGTTGCTCCTTGTTCAGTTAAGGCGCCTTGTGACAAAAATGTCACCTTAACTCTCTGAGCAGAGTTATTTTGGTGCTGTTAAATCAGCATTCGTTTTGACTGTTGTGAGTTTTCCATTAGGCCTTGCCTTCTACAAGTTAGCTGCTTTCTAGGAACTGGGGAGTTTTAGTTTTTGTTTTGTAAGGGTCTTCAAGTAGTTGTCGGTTACGGCTTTGTACACTATTTAGGTGAAGATATAGGTGAATTTGTGCGCACAGCATATGCATGTGAACCCTCAATTCAGTTTCATTTTGCTTTTTGTGATAGATTTATTCAATCTGAATTGGAAAGTGTTAATTTTTATGACTGTAGTCAACCTTTGATTATCTTAGTCCATGTAGAGAAAGAACAGTTTATATAAGGTTAACATGAGTTGTGTTTTGTTTGGATTTTTTCTAAACAAACCTATTCCATATGAGTGGAGTGATTGTGCAGGCATTCAAATAAAAGATTTGGAGCCATACTGATGAGAAGGAGATGGGAGGTTGTCCTGTTTCACTATCTGATTCTCATGTTTTTATTAAGCAGAGCCCGTGACCCTGTGGGCAGTGACTGAGTAATTTAGTTTACAAAACCTGTCTTTTATAATAGCCTGAGTTGGGGGTTAGCCGTCTGAGAAACACCTTAGAAAAGGAAAAATGCTGTAACAGAGGTATCTAGCAAAGGAGTTGATAAGTGATAATAACAAAGGTGTTGAAACTGATTTGCGTAGGTAACACCTTCCTTGCCTGGCCCCAGTCTTGTGTATAACTAAAAGCTGACTGTCATACGTGATTGCGAAAGAAGAGCATATTTTAAGTACTCAGCTTTTACATCACTAAATGACTGGATGCTTTTACAGGATTGAATGCTTATTAGGAAGAATTCTTTCTCATTTCTGATTTGATAACCATCTAATTTTATTATCATTTCCTACTACTTTACCTTCCAAAGCAGGGTTTAGACTGAAATAAATTTTCATTTGGTTTTTGTAAGGTATGTGAATGGTCATGCAAAAAAACATTATGAAGATGCACAAATACCCTTAACCAACCATAAGAAGTCAGAAAAGCAGGAAAAAGCTCAGCACACGGTGTGTATGGATTGCAGTAGCTACAGTACGTACTGGTAAGTATTACTGTTTTCTGAAAATGGTGTTCCTTTACCATGTGAGCGCAAGTGTTTTCTCATCTTCGTCGCTCTTTCCGCTCGCCCCAGCCTCTAAAGCAGTCGAGCCGGCCACTGCTGCCTGTGAGTTCTGTGGGGACTCACAGAGGACGGGGCCACCAGGACCACGGTCCGTACTCATTCCGATTTCCTTTTGCTTTGCCCATTCAGCCTCTCCGCTGCCTCTTCTTTCCCACCCCGTAGGCTGCAGGGAAATGAAAAGTAACTATTATTGTTGCTCATTATAAGTCCTTTTCTTTTTCTTGTTTTGTTTTTAATTGAAGAATGAAATGATTAAAAACTCATGCCCCACCTCAGGTAAAAACCCATGTTCCTATTGTCCAGTTAACATTTTGTTATATAATCTTAAAATTTTAACTTCTTTGTTTAAAAAATTATTTTGACAGTCTCCCCACTCCCAACACAGTTCTGGTCTCCTGTTCTCCTCGGTAGATACATGTCAAGAATTTTGCGTGTAGCTTTTCAAACCAACTTTTGTTTAAAGTATCATATCTTTTAAAAAGATATTGGGAGCCCTGTTCTCTCCTTGTAATATAGTCACGTGTCTGTTTCATATAAATGACAGTAAAGTGAGTATCTGTTTTTGTGATGACTTAGAACTAGGTTATTTGCATTACAAGTGATCATGTCCATTTGATCTGCTTAAAAATTCAGTGTGTTTTAGTTTTAACTTTAGCGTGAAGCAAATTTCTTTCCTTGTCTAGTAAATTATGAACAATTCTTTACTTGTTTTAATCACTTTACTGAATTCAAAAGGTGTTTGATATTGAAAGGAGAAAAAAACCCAAGCTATTTAAAGGCTCTCTTTGGATGTGTTGTAGCTGCCACACAGCCCTTGAATCAATGTCACACAAAGGCCGTAGGTCATACTGGGCAGGGATGGGGATTTAAAGTCCAGACACCGCTTTTGATTCATACTTTGTACTGGAGTTGTGTGCTGGTCCTTTCTGCATTGTCCTTAGTTGGTTATTATAGAAAGCTGTCCATCAAAAGGAAGGAAAGAAAGGTCGGTGGTTCAACATTGCTGTGATGATTGAGTAAAGCCTCGTGAGGGCTAGCCATCCAGATCACTACCATTTCGGTGATCCTTTGTGCAGAAGGTGTCCAGACCTGGGTGAGAGAGAAGCTAGAGGCAGATGGCAATGTCAGTAGAAGTGAAAATCTTCTCAAGATTTTCACACAAGGCCTAGTGCAAGTATTTCTCTTTAGACAGCAGAAATTAAGATCGTTCTTGAAGTATCTGTCTCACAGTCATCGGTGTAGGTCATGGCATCCTGTTCGTACCAGACATTGAAAACATTGTCTTCTTGGTTTTCAGTTAGCAATGTGCATGAAAGGCTTAATGGGGAAGTTTGGAGATACAGCTAAATCTCTGTGTGCAGTGGGTTTTCTTGCTATTGGTGAGATTATGAGGAAATAGTAACTCTTTGAGAAAATTTAAAGAATTACCTTAGAATTTTCTTAGAATTTTCTTAATGGAGTGGAATTCTATTCATAGGTCTCTTTAAAGATAAAGATTATCTACTTTAAAATCTTTGTATATTGCATTTTGGAAGAATACGTTTATTAACTAGAATTGGAATTTAAATTGTTTTATGTTGGAGTAGCGTGCTAAAGTACAAGTCGTTTCACAGCTGAATTGGAATTAAATGGCAGATCTTGAACCTCGGGGAATAGACACCATGGCAGGGGCTTCTTGGCCAGTTGCCAGTCTTCTGTGTAAAGCTGTACAGAGCTGTGAGTGTGTGGACACCCAGAGCTTCTGAAGTGCAGGGAGCTGCAGCTGGTCACAGAACCATCCCATTTGTGGTTTTAGAACAAAGTGCTAGGGAATTTTGTTCCTGTAGTGTGATACTGACAGCCTACAAGGAACCTGTGAGAGTGGTAGACCCATGAGGCTGCAGTTGAAATTCACATTTCCCACACCTCACTATGATGAAGAGACAAACAAAAAAGGCTTTTTTCTGCATGAGGTGTGTGTTTGTGTGTGTTGTTTTCCAGCGTACTTAAGTATTTTCATTTCAGTTTGTAAATTTTCCTTGTGCATAACTTTCTTGTGGTTAGACTGAATGGTTTGCTTCAGAGGTAAAATGTTGGTATATTAGGTTGAACCTATTTGATTATTAATTATTATGCTTGTAGTCAAGCGACTTTGACTATAGCAATGTTGAAGCACCTTTTCCAAGTGCTCTGTGCTCTGAGGAAGTTGAAACATGCTCTGAGGCTGACAGTTTTTCTGTCCTTATCTTCCCTTTTCCAAGAGGCCCTGTGCGTCTGTCTGTGCAGATCCTTTATGAAGTTATCACTGAGCTGTCCACACTGCGCCACCCCCCACCCCCGTCCCCGCCTCAGCTCCAATTGTAGCTGGATGTAA